TAATCGAAAATCGTGATGGCATAGTTCTGAGCGGTTAAATAGTTTCGTTTTGCGATTATCTAGAGTTCTTGATACATAAAACAATTTTTTGATTATTCCAAAAAATCTTAAAAAATTTTGAAAAATTAAGTCTTATATATAATAGTTCTCAGCTAATTTTATTGAAATTTTATATATTTTAATGAGTTCTCGAATATTTAAAAAATTTTAGATATCTAACTAAACAAGTTACACACTTAAAAACATCTTTTCAAACCAGACTAAATTATTACGGATATCTTTTTATCTAGTTATTTGATCGCTTTGATCCATAAGATTTTTCATCAGAACTCGTCGAGAACTAGCCAGAACGCTAATCAGAATTATCCGGAACTCTCAAAAAAAATTCACCTACGGAACTTCGAAAATTTTCTTATATCAGCTTACAATGTCGCGTATCTTGCAAACCACTGATCCGATAGCTTTGACCCATAAGACTTTTCGTTAGAACTCGTCGAGAACTAGCCAGAACGCTAATCAGAACTATCCGGAACTCTCAAAAAAAATTCTGACATAAGAAAATTTTCAAAGTTCTGTGGGTGAATTTTTTTTTAGAGTTCCGGATAATTCTGATTAGCGTTCTGGCTAGTTCTCGACGAGTTCTGATGAAAAATCTTATGGATCAAAGCGATCAAATAACTAGATAAAAAAATATGTGTAATAATTGTCTGGTTTGAAAAGATTTTTAAGTGTGTAACTTGTTTAGTTAGATATCTAAAATTTTTTAAATATTCGAGAACTCATTAAAATATATAAAATTTCAATAAAATTAGCTGAGAACTATTATATATAAGACTTAATTTTTCAAAATTTTTTAAGATTTTTTGGAATAATCAAAAAATTGTTTTATGTATCAAGAACTCTAGATAATCGCAAAACGAAACTATTTAACCGCTCAGAACTATGCCATCACGATTTTCGATTAGAAGTTGGCCCCCCATTTTGTAATTTTAATTTTGAGGCAGTAAATCACCAGAACTCTATATAAACTATCGAGAACTCTTAGTCTCTTCAAAATAAAACGGGAACTCTAATCAGAACTACAAACATTTAATGTTGGGATGCCAACTTAACACACGCCTCTTGCTGCTTCAATTGTTTAACTTAGCTGCGTCGAACATGAATCACAACGAGGATGTTACGTTGAAAATTATGCATTACACGCGTCGCCGGACAATTGATCGGTTTACGAGCCGAGGCGTGGAGCGAGCTATTGTATTTCGATACACAATCGTTTCGATGCAAAACGATTGTCTCCTAATCAAAGTTCTATACTCTGCGATATACACGTTTTGTTTGTTTTAACATTTTTTCCTAATAATTTTTTGCACACAATGCATGCAGTTTTGATTATTCTTCTATTATTTGCGTTTGTCAAATAAGATTAAAATTTCAAAAAAACTTTTTTTTTGTATATATATATATATATATATATATGAAAATATTTTGATATATATATATATATATATATATCAAAAAACCGCTGACACTCGGCACCGATTACGGCCTTGTCTGGTGAACGATTCCGCGGGACCCGCGTTTCTATTAAAGTAACTTGGCTACATTATATAACTAACTCTGTTACTACTCAGCGTCGGCAACAGGCAATTATTCCGTTTCTTGATCATTGATTGTTAACGCGACAAGTTACATGCTGTGTTTGCTCGGTTTCTTCCATGAATTCCACTTAAGCGGGATCAAACTGCACTGACACGTTTGTCTCATTGATTGTGTGTGTGGATGTGCCATAAATTTCTGCTCGTTGCAAAAAAAAAATGATTGAAAAAAAAACTTGGTACTGATCTTATACAATATAAGAATTTTAATTCAATCAGAGCTTATGAGTTTATTAAGTTTAATATTTTAAAGAATAGATATTGTAAGATAAACAAAAAAATAATATGTTTTTATCTTCATCATTGCTTGTTTTATTTATCATATTATGTAATATGAAAACATTAATACAGCATATTTTGCTGCATCATAATGATCCAATAGGTGATAATCTTATAAGAAATTTCTATCGTTATGTGAGGTCTTCATACGTGTATATAGAAATGTCACTGATAAATATCGTTTACATTATTCATAATTGACACAAATAACGCTTGTTAAAAAAAAGTGCCATTAGAAATCGGCCGTGAGTACTCTTCAACGAAGGAAACAACGTGTGTAGCCTTGTCAATTGTGTTAATCAGATTTGCATATTACAGACTGTGATGAAATATTTTAAACATTTTACGAAAATGACGATAATATGTTTTTTTTTTTATCACACATATTTGTCAATACACATCGCGTATTTGGCATACAAGTAAGGAGAATCTCTCCAACTATATAGAACTTCAATAGAACACATAATAATCCAAATTCACAAAGGTTTTGACATCGAGTTGTTTCGAAACATAGAAATATAGAGATTCTGTCTTATAAAGATTAAGACAAATTTCAATGACATTTGTTTTTCGAAGTATTTAGACTTGATTGTAGAATTCGGTCAGATTTAAATACTATTATATGTTATACTTTATCGCCTGTTATTTTTACAATGTAATTTTAGGAAAAAAATCTTTCATATATAGATATATTTGACATCTAATTATGTGCAATTATATAGAATAAGAGCGACTCATACTCAATCTCACATAATAGTATGTGTAATTATTTATATAGGTCCCTGATAAAAATTTAGCATGTTTTCCAAAAACCAATTAGAAATAGGCGAAGTTATTTTCACAATTGTAGCACATACTGCAGTAATCTTGAATAACTCCTTTCAGTATCTGGTTTTCATATTACTAATCAACAATGTTTTTATAGAAAGAGATAATTTTGAGTCACTTTATCGATATTCAATAAGCTTACCAACTTTTATATATATTTTTCGAAAACTCAATTGTTGTCGAGATATAAACCAAATTAGTCAAAATAAAAAATATGAAACAAAGTTTTTTACTATTACAATAATTGCTCAATATGTTCATTTTATATTCTAGATATGCCTGTAGTCTTCGTGGAAAGCTTACAATTAGATAGAAAAGAATAAAAGAGTTAGCTTACTTTCAAGGTTCTACCACTCGAGGGAAACATGACAGAAAGAATAAAAAATATTTTTTTGCAAAACTGTTCAAGAATTATATGAAATCCAGACAAGCATGTCTAGAAATAAGCATGTCTAGAATATATAGTGAATATTTGGAGCAAGTATTGTAATAACAAATAGATTTGTTTCGTAGTTTTTATTTTGACTAATTTTGTTTATATCTCAACAACAATTTTGAAAAAATACTCTAATATGAAAAGTATTAACCTCAGTAAGCAATACCGACAGAGTGACTTAAAATTACTTTTTTCTATTAAAAATATTAAAATTTTTAATAAAAAAGTTTGGTTATGTGAAAAATAGATATTCAAGCTTGTCCAAGGTCACCATAGTATATCCCCTTATATATTCTACAAATGTGATAATGAATGTCTTCTCTTATCTCTACCGTTTTTCAGAAAATTATGCTGGATTTTTTATCAGACTCATCTTGTGTATAACTAGATATATTAGAAAAAGAGATAGATATCATATTTGTTTATATACATATGAAGAACTTTTATTTCTGACAATGAACTGTTTTTCATATTGAAAAAACTATTTCCCTTGTTATTTTATCATTATATACTTGCACATCACGATTTCATAATACACATGTAAGAAACATGCTGACTTTAAAAATATACTGTTACTTTATTGAATGTCGTCCGTTGCGTAATCTCGCGTTAAACTGTTTCTCGTATCGAGAAGCAAACATATCCCTGTATCATTTCATCACAAACTTGCATGTCACGGTTTCATAATAATGAATCACGTAAGAAATATACTACAAACAAATTCAAGGCGATTCCCGAGCAAAACATGCAAAGCCCGACGGACCTTGCACTTGTGCTAGTTTCATTGTTTCCACGGAAAACGTAGTGTTATCACAAAATGAAAACGACGTCTTCACAGTGCTATGTGCGACAACGATGAGTTACAACCGTCACACAAATAATAAAAAACTGTCTCGTTGCGATATTTGTATTCCGGTGAAATGAAAATTTCAATTAATCATAAAAAGAAATTGTATGAAAAAGCAGAAAAAAGACGGTTTAATGTGGTGTGATATTGAAATGAGCAGTAGTTCTCCGAATACAAATGTATACTCTATAAACATCGACGCGTATCTGCGGCTCTTATCGGCGTTTATATAGTACGCTATCACTCGTACAACGCATGTAACGCTCTTTTGTGTTCATCCCGAAGGCTGATATACCGCGGTCGTGGTCGTGTTTCGATAACAAACAAACTTTGTTCGAATTTAGGCAGACTGTATTTTACATATGAAGGACAAGTGCGAGACAGAGACACTTTCTATAAACACTTTTTTATCAATTGTTTCACAAACTTGTATGAACTTTTATTAATCATTTCATAAATTATATCGATAAAACCGATCAGATTATGTGGTGTGTGCGTCTCTTTAGCGAATCTCATTCTATGAATCGTTCAAATATCGTCTTCGCTTTAATTTCGGACGACGAAACACAACCGTTATTTCTTTTTCGCCGTGGATTTGATCCGCACGTTTATACACCAACAAGTAGCGTATAAACGGAATCGTATTCGGATCACCGACTAACTTCAGGGGGCTCACATTGAATTAAATATATTGATTTATACGGGTGTGTGTGGACTTTNCCGAAAGATTTACGCTCGGTCTTTGGGTTCTATACTTATTGTCAGTATAGCGGGACCTAAAATGGTCTATTAAACCAAACCTGATTTGTACCCTTCCGTAACCTCCCCTGCGTTTTCGGCGTAGCAAAGAAATTGCAAAGCGAGATTCGCCAATGCACATAACATAGNGAAATTCACGGTGAATATTTCAATTTTGTTGCTGTACGTTTATAAATTAAAAATAAAACAATCAAATAAATAAAGAATAAAGCAAGCAGATTTGCAATTTGAAAAAATAACAATAAGTTAAAACTATATGTATTAGTTATCGAGTATCTCGGCCAATAAAGAATAAAATTGATAGTTCTCGAACAGAAAGTGTCTGCAATACTTGTATATTTTACTTTATGAAGCAAAATGAACTTTCTAACAAATTCTCTTTTATAAAAAATGAATTGTTCTACAGAAATCTCTGTTTTTCTAGTTTTTTACAATACGTGGTTTTTATTAGTATTTTATTTATGCTGTAATTATATTTTTTAAAGAAAATAGTAAATATGTGTGGCAGATTAACGGCAATCAATGTACTTCAATTGTATTTTATTTTATCATAAATGTGAATTATAGCATTATTGTATTTTTTTTATCATAAATGTGAATTATAGCATACTACAGAGTCATTCGACTTTCCAGTGCTATTTGAGAAGTGACATTGCATATTAAGTGACGTTGCGTGTGTAGAAGTCAGATAAGGTGACAATTCTGAATCGAGACGAGTAATATTGCCTTTTAATAGAGATACACGCACTGAAAAGATTCATTCGAACGGAGGACAAGGTTTCTTCATCTTATCAAATTTCAGATCATCAATTGTCGGTAGTATCGCAAATATATTTTTGAAGACATTACAACAAATTAAGAAAAAGCGATATTTATTTAAGGATAACATAAGAGAATCAATAAATTACATTTTTTTTTAGTATTTAGTATTTAGTTTCCTGTTCGAGTGCAAAGTTATTGATCTCGTATATTAACGTGTATTAATTAATATATATTTTAATATAATGATAATGTGTATTAATTAATATATTTTTTACTATAATTGAGAGTTAAGTGACTTATAATAGATTTATAATAAATTTAATAATAGAAAATACATATAATTTTTATTCTTTACAAATTATTATAGAGGACCACCAAGATGTTCTAAGAATCACGAGAAGACACTTTTGAAGATAAATCTGAAGAAGTGATGTTCACACGTTAATCAATTCAGCTAATATCTTGCACTTCGTGCCAAAGAGGGTCATCAAAGATTTGCGATAAAGCGATAAAATCAATAAAGCGATCGATCGTGGGAGATATTGACAAGAAGCCGATGAGATACGTGAAGTGCCGTGGTTTATACATCGAATTATCCTGAATTACATCGAGTGATCAATCTCAGTCAGTGTTGAGAAAAAGAAAAAAAAATTTTGCAGACAATTTTTGTAAATTTTTAAGAACACAATTGAAGAAATCAATTATGAAATTGTGAAGAAATATTTTATTTAATACGTGGAAAATTGATTAAGTCGCAAAAAAAACTGACACGTGCCGGTTATTGATAATTGTTATGAGCTGATAAGTTAAACGATCGTATTTAATCGTATTGATTGAAGTGACATATACAAAACTCGCTGTGATTTAATGACGCGTGCAAGGAGCTATGGATTCAACGACAATCAAATCAAAACCAAATCCAAGAGAAAAGGCGAACGTTGTATCAATATTGCTGTGGTGGTGAGTTGCGCAATGTTTTGTTACATCATCTTACATAATTAAAGTTGTTTGTGACATGTAAGAGTTTTCTTAAATTGTATTTTTTATATATATCTTTATAAAATTTGTATGTAAAAAACTATCTATGTGTGATATCATGTGTTTAGAATAAATGTTAAAAACTTTATGATTTTAATATTAGATACTTTATGATTTTTAATATTAGAATTTTATGATATTAATATTAAGATAGTTATTTTGAGATAGACTTTATACATGTTTTTTTCTCATCTCATGTATGTATATGTATATACATACGTACATACGTACATACGTACATACATACATATGTACATACATACATATAACAAAAAGTAATTGAATATTCAAATAGTTAAATGTGTATTATTCTGTATAAACAATACGATTATTTATTGGTATATCAAAGTTTGTAACATACATAATTAGTTACTTCTGAGAATTTAAAACTTCTAAACTTTGATATTTTAAATATTCTCTTTGTAACTATAAATATTTCTTTTTATAAATATTTTTCTTGATAATATTTGCGATTTCAATATAAGAATACAGAAAAAGATAATCGAGCGTTATCTTAAATAATATAATACGTTGCACAAAGATTTTTTATGTTCAACTAGATTTCATCTTCATACATGTTTACTTTTGACTTTGTCGATGACAGCGCACTTCTTAGTGTGACGAAACACACCATATATCTAGAATTAAGACAAAGTAAAGTCTCGAATTTATCTCGCGTTTTTTTCTGTGTTGCATCATATAGTGAATCATTAAATATACGAGGGTGGGGTGAAAAGTTTTCGGCCTGATAAAGAAAAACAACTTTTTTCGTTTTTTTTTTTCGTTTTATTTTTCAACATAATGTCCATCAAGATTAATACATTTTTCATAACGGTGCTCTAATGCAGTGATACCATTTTTATAGTCTGATATGTCAAGTCCCTCAAAATACTCATTTACAGCATCGATGACTTCCTTGTTGCTCTCTAATTTTTTATCTCCGAGCCATTTTTTAAGGTTAGAAAACAAATGATAGTCGCTGGGGGCTAAATCTGGTAAATATGCTGGTTGGGGGAACAATTCGAACTTCAATTCGTTGATTTTAGCCATCGCAACGACCGAATGGGCAGGTGCGTTGTCATGGTGAAACAAGATTTTTTTCTTCGCCAAGTGAGGTCGTTTATTTTTCACTTCGTCCTTCAAACGCTGCAATAACTCTGCGTAGTATTGACCAGTGATAGTTTTACTCTTCTCCAGGTAATAAATGAAAATAATTCCTTTCGCATCCCAAAAAACAGTCGCATAACCTTATTCGCCGATAAAATTGTTTTTGCCTTCTTTGGGGTTGGTTCACCTGGTCCAATCCATTGTTTCGACTGTTGTTTACTTTCAGGAGTGTAGTGGTGAATCCAAATTTCATCCACAGTTATAAATCGACGCAAAAATTCGCTGGGGTTTTGCTTGTACAGCGCCAAATTTTCGATTGAAACAGTTTTCCGGGTGAATTTTTGATCGACCGTTAGCAAACGCGGCACCCACTTAGCACAGAGCTTTCTTATGCTCAAATGTTCATGTAAAATATTGCGTACACGTTCACTTGACATCCTAGTAACCTCAGCTATCTCACTTACTTTTAATCTGCGGTCCTCCATCATTATTTTATGAATTTTTTCAATCATTTCGGGAGTTGTGATCTCAACGGGGCGTCCTGAACGTGGATCGTCAGAAGTGCTCGTGCGACCTTTCTTAAATTCAAAAACCTACTGTTTAACCGTTGAATATGATGGAAAAGAGTCTTTCAGTGTGGAATCCAGCTCTTCTTTAATTTGTAATGGTGTTAGGCCTTTTAAATAGAAGTATTTGATGACTGCACGCTTTTCTGATTTTTCCATTTTCACGTAAACAATCGAGGCGTCTTGTTCAATCGGCTCTCAAATGTACACTAAAAGAGCAATCGACCTGAAAATGTATATATTTAAATTTATATATTTAAATTTATATATATATTTATATATATAAATTTATTTATATATTAAATATTATATTAAATATTATTATATATTAAATTTATATATATATTTATATATATATTTATATATTTAAATTTATATATTTATAAGCTAGTGAGATATAGTACTATAGAATACAAAAATTAGACCTGCTGACGCCATTTCTAGGTCAGGCCGGAAACTTTTCACCCCACCCTCGTACATCTTATTATATACATTTAATATATTTATATATATTTCTTTCTTTGTTAAGTTTTATACTGGCCTGGTTTACACCGATTGTTTAAAACTCGTATTAAATACTATAGTCGTATTAAATTAGCTTGGTCTCAATAATGTAAACAATGTCATATTAAGCAGATATGATACGCGTATCAAGTACATTTAAAATGATGTAAACACCAGAATTATACAGTGAAAAACAAATTTTATGTGATTTACGTATTTACAAAAAAAATGTACGATATAAAGTAGGCCACTTAATAACACAATATTTATAAATCGCAATCTTGTCACATTAAGATCTAATATGTTATACTATGTATTTTTTGTCTAATATGTATTTCTTCTAATATGTTCTTCTAATATGTATTACGTTTTATCATTTTGTCATATCAGGTGGACCACCAGTTTGTTCAAGACAGGATACAGGAAAAATCTGGAGATAGAGGACTTGTATGATCCCTTGAAAACTGATCGATCAACTGTACTCGGAGATCGATTAGAAAAGTGAGTATCGAAGTTACTACCTGAAAAGAGAGACAAATATTTTAACAATATTTTACCCAGATAACCAAATCTGTCGAAACAGCATTTTGCCAAATGCTTGTTACAAATTTTATTAGCAGAAAGACATCAAATTTGATGCAGAGTTTGTTTTGTCTGGCAATGTTGGAAAATTGCTAGCAAAAATATATTCAAGCTTGTTGACAAAACATAACAGCAACTTGCTGGCAAAAACCAAGCAAAGCTGTGTCATGTTGCACAGATCTTGCTTTATATTTGGCGTCAATTTGATTTCAGACCAAAATATGTTTCAATATGTATCAAGCTTTGTTCGGTTTTTGCTAGCAATTTGCTGTTACTTTTTGTCGACAAGCTTTGGCAACAAAATCGAAGCCTAATGCGGACACAATTGATGCCAATTTGCTGAGTATATTTGCTTAAAATTGCTGACAATTTGCCGGCAAATTGCGAACAAATTTACTGGATAATTACGAAACAAATCATGGGATAATTGTGTAATTACAGACATTGGAAAGTCGAGCTGGAAAATTCAAAAAAACGAAAACGCAAACCGAGTCTGCTGATTACGATTTTTCTCACTTTTTTAAAGGAATATTCCATATTAGGAATAATACAAGTTCTCAACGAGTTTGTGATAAGGTATATTAATACTAAAATAATAATGAGTCGATGTTTTTTTGATAATCCCAACACATTTTTATCTTCTACGTCGATAAGGGCACAGCTCTCGACGGTTTATACAAGCTATACATACTTTGTAGCATAAGAAATATTAATAAATCTGTTTTTAACATTTAATTGCTTAAGATATTGAGCGTTTTAAGTAAAACTATAAAAATATTAAAAACTTTTTACGTAATTATTTATGTAATTTACACATTTCTATTATTTATTAAATATTTACGTTATTTACACACACACACACACACACACACACACACACACAGAGCAATTGTTGAACATCCAGTATATACAGGGTGTCCCATTTCAAATAATGCATTTTAATATCTCTTTTGTAACTCGTCATAGACAAAAATTGTTCAAACAAAAGTTGCATGGTTTGGAGGGGGCACATGATGAAAATACGGACTTGACTTTAAGTGACTTTTTCAAGGTCAGGCCAAAGTCATCTAAAAATTTTTTCCCCTTCCAAACCACGCAACTTTTGTTTGAACAATTTTTGTCTATGACGAGTTACAGGAGAGATATTAAAATGCATTATTTAAAATGGGACACCTTGTATATACAGGGTGTCCGACAATTACTTAACATCTGTCGTAGGTAGGTAGAAGGAGTAAAACTGAGTCGAAAGGCCTATAGCATTTTGCGAAATTCGCAATAATTACCGAGATCTTAGGTAACAAAAATCCGCGAATAAACATGCATCGGGCTGTCTTGGAGTTGGTTTATAATAGCCGCAACCGTTAACTTACGCCGGTGCCGTAAAAGTTGGAAAATAGAAAACTCGTACTCCTGTTCGTAATTCAATTATGAACAGAAGTACGTACTTCCTATCTTCCAACTTTTACAGCAATGGCCTAAGTTAACGGATACGGCTATTATAAACTAACCTTAATACAGACCGATCCCAGCAAACAAAATATACCCTGATAGGAAACCATTTACAAACTTATGTGACGAAATCTTGCATTAAAATTGTAATTTGCAATTATACATATTTTAGGAAATAGATGTAAAAACATTGATCTTTTCTGAAATATTTGTAGTTGTTTGCAAAATTACTTTCCAAATGCTATTTCGGCAAAAGAATAACGATATGGCGAATCATCTTAGCAGTATATTTGCAAAATTAATTTCACAAAGAAATTGTCCAATAATTGAGAAAAGAAATTTAGCTATGTGATGTTTAAAATATGTAGAAATATAATTGCATATGAAGAAATGCAAGAAATCGTCGTCACTCATGATGTCATATTTGTGCAATATTTTCACAATTTGCCTATTGGAAGTATATACTGTGGAAATGCATAACGACTTCTTCGCAATTTTTAACAAATATTATTTACAAAATTTTATTGTGACAAAACTGTTGCGTTATGGCGAATCATCTTAGTGCAATCATTGCAAAATCGTCGCCATTCATGATGCCATTTTTGTGCAATATTTTCACAAATGTGCCTATTAGGGTAACTGCTACATAACATGGGAGTAACATATAATGCAACAGTTGTTATACTTGATTTATATTGGGATTATAATAATTTTTTCTTATTTATGCAATATTACTCTGTAATGAAAGAATTATAGTTTGTTACTTACTGGCAACAACAAGATAACAATAATGTATATGTAATATAACATGTTATATGACAAATTTTATGTCTGCGTTACTGTAATGTGACAATTTATATAGATATGATCGAGTGATTTATTGATGAATAGAATTTGAAGATTCTATATAAAAAAAAAGATATGTTAATATAATGTAAAGTCTATAAAGAGCCATCGCGGGATGTTGTGCGTGAAAATATGACTGTGCATATATCTATGCAACAGTACTCACATTTTTCATGTGAGTTTTTTAATTGAAATTTTAATTCTATCAATTCATATAGGATGCTAGTTTTGCATTACATATACGAACGACCCTGAATACCCCTCTAACTAGATATATGCACAGTCATATTTTCACGCACAACATCCCGCGATGGCTCTTTATAGACTTTACATTATATTAACTTTAAAACGGATTACAGAGCCTGAGATTATTCTCAATTATTCACTTTAAAAAGATATGTATTGTTGTGAAAATACATATTGATTAAAAAAAGGATATGTGATACCTTTAGTACAAACTATTATAGAAAGTGAAGTAAAAAAGAACAGTCTCGTGATGATTTTATGAACATGTTATTGTCAAAGCCCGAAGCACGGGCGTTCTTAGAATTGTCTGGTCAATGCGGAACCAACCGTCTTGGTCAAAGCTCAAATAGACATTTGAGACGAATAAAATATTTTGTTTGTATCTTATATTATCGTAACGTGTGGGCACTTCCTCCCCGTGGAAACTTTTTTTTTTTTTTTTTTTTTTTTTTTTTTTTTTT